CCATCTGGTTGTGCAATGCCAAGGGAACTGCTGGTATTCAATAAATACATAGGAAAAGACTTCTTCACTTAATTTTATATCAGGCAAACGAATACATAATCAAATTGGGAAATTGGGGTGGCTGTTTAGTTCCAGCAGCGAAAATAATAAATACTATTCTGGAAGTCAGATAAAATTAATAGTTATCTGGTTTAAAAAAAAAAATCCCTTCTGGCTTCACATGTCAATGTAATCATGTAATAGTGAGATGCCAATGCGTTCATTTCACAAGGAGTCTCCGAGCATTTGTTTGTGTAATTATATCTTTGTGTGGCGGAGCCCCAGCCAGGCTGGGATCTACCACGAGGCAGAGCCAGACACCCATGTAGAAAATGAACTAGCCAGAGATGAAAGCAGGGCGCTCAGTGAATAATTTGTTTTCCCTGTAATGTTTAATTACAGTTTTTCATACAAAGGGAATTTCTTCAGTATTTAATCATGGAGAGATAGTTGAAGCTAATTAGCAAGAGACACATCACCATTTCATCTTTAATAAAAAATCACTGGACACCGGCAGTTGAGGCAAAGGGGAGTCATTTTCAAGTGAGAAACAACCAGCTAACGCCAAGTTCCTATGGAAAAACAAACACCTGCCTGACGTCTAGTGAGGGCCCAGGTCCCTGCCCTCCCGGGTGGGGTGCTAAGGATCAGGGGTGTCCCCATGCTTCACAGAGAGGCAAGACTGATAAGATGGAGAAGCACCAGGTCGCCTGCACATTTCTATTCCAAGCTCAGCATCCAAAGCGAACTTTAAAATGAAAAGCGTTTCCCCAAAACTTTCCCTATTGGCGAAGAAACTGTGACAAATTACTAAGGGAAATATTATACGTACAAAACATCGATTTCACCACTTCTCTGTTTTCAGACTGGCTTCTCCATTGTTTGGGTCAGACTTCCAGAAGTTTCTATGAATCACCCTCATATACATAATACTCGTATAAAGATGTCAAGAACCCAGGTGTGTATTTTTGCTAAGACAGAAATATGAGCTGCCTTAAAACTCTGGCCTTGAGACGGTAAGCGGTGCAGCATGTAGGGAAGCAATAACGTTTCATACGGAGAATCTAACACAGAGCATCTGTTGCGTGAAAAGAAAGCACGAGAAGGGACCCTTTTAGATTGCTCGGAGGTTTCAAATAGGAAGCCATGCGCACATCCATGCTCGTTCCCGTGGCCACCGTCAGGTTTGAGTGAACCCTGCATTAAGCGCTATCGGGATTTTCTTGACTCCACTGGATCAATGACAAAGGTAATTAAAGTTGCATACTATCTGCCTTTACCTTTTGGTTCCTTCCTCTGGCTTGTGTCTGGCCTCCACCTTCTCCTTATGGTAAGTAGCATTCATTTCATTCCGCAGCCGGTCATTTTCACGGGCAATGTCAGAAGCGTTCTGAATGACCAGGGCATCGTAGGTCTTCAGCCCCATGTCCTCTGTAATCTGCAGGAAGCTGTTGATGGACGTGACCTCTTGCTGTCTGATGCTCCTTTTCTGAATCAAGTGCTGGCGTGCTAGAAATCCTCTTACAACTTTCATAAAAGAACACAATCACGGGTCAGTGAGAGGAGCAGAAGCGAAACCCCAGACACACAAACAGGTCATAACACACTGATGTCTCAGCAGCCATAACATAAGATGCATTTAACTCAGAATAAGAATTTACAAAACTTTCTAATCTCGTATCTGAAAAGGTATCTAAATTCAGCAATGGTAACACCTAAGAGGCAAAATCCGTAACCTAAGAAATGAGACATCCACACTTCTTTTCTTAACACAGCTGGACGAGACGGACTGGATGAAAATCAGTAGGGAGGAAGCAGGTCTAAACCCCAGAGAATTCTGCAGTGTAGTTCCAACTGGACCATTTTAGGATGCACTGCTCGTCTCATTATATCCGAGTAGAACAGAAATGGCTGAGGCTTGTGGAAGTTGTCTTCAAAAACATGCACATATTGTTAATAAGACTCTGATTTAACTCCTAGAAAAACGAACAGTGCATTTAAGACTCTGGAAAGAGATTGTGTGTGAATTTAGGACATCCTTCCTGCTCTCCAGAGAAGTGGCGCTAGCTAGAAAAATGTGTAAGAATTGGGAGAACTACGTGAGTGAACACGCTCTGAAATCGCTAATATGTCAGTAACAAATGGTAACACTTGAAAACAGAAATAATAATGCCCACCATTTAAAGGCATTTCCATGTGTCAGGCACTCTATCATTTCATGCCAACACTCAATGATAATTCATAAACCATTATCTCCATTTTGCACCTGGAGAAAGAGAAGCTTAGTGAAGCTAAGAAAATTCCTCCAGGTAAACACAACCAATGAACAGTAGAGCCAGGTTTCAAATTTCTGTGCTTATGCAGCCAAATTCATTCCCTTACCTCGGACCACCCGGATGCTACCTTAGCTCTCCAGAGAGCAGGTCACCAATGGAGAAGTCGCAGGGAAGCATATTTGCGATCAACGTGAAGAAGAACTTTCTAATAATGAGCACAGGGTGTAAACGGATCAGGCCGGCTCCTGAGAGAGGGAGTCAGCGTGTCCGAGAGGGTAAATGGCCCCATCTGGATACTGTGAACAGGTGTAAATTCGCAGGTGGGCCTTTTGACCCTAGGACGCTGCCCCTTCCAATTCCAAGTTTCTAAGGTTAGAAGGAATTGCTGGAATTCTAAGAAGATCTATAATTTCAGGGGAAAACCAATGTGTGTAGCAAAAACGCTTTGTTTTTGTTTATAGTGTGTGTGTGGGGGGGAAGGTCTGTAAAGCATTAAGTGCTTTAAAATACTCCCTGGCTATAGAAGAAAAAATGTGCGGCTTATCTAGGATATTCATTTTGATGCCTTTACTTGATTAGAAGATGGAAAGCTGAACACAACTTTCCACAATTATGGCTCCAGAGGCAAATAATATGCAGACATCTAAAATGCTTAAGGCTTTTTTTTTTTTTTTCCAAATGGCAATACTAAATGTTTAGTTACTTTGGAATGCAGTTGTATTAAGTTCACTATAAAACAGTCATGCTGAACTAATCTAAAGGGGAAAAAAAACTGAACAGTAAAAGGTACAATCAGACTTCCAGGAATATAAAGTGCAGCATAAAAGGCAGAAGTGTTAACCAGGCAGTGGGCAACTGAGACAGAAACAGAAAGCTCAAATTGGTCTGTCTGCTCGCTCGTTCCTGTTACATTAAAAAAAAATTGAGACATTGACTTTTGGAAGGGTGAAGGTGAGGGTATATTCAAGATGTTTAATCTTTTGGAACAAAGGGAAGATTAATGTGGCCATGGGAGACTTCTTTTGACCCCGTCAGAGCAGAGCTATTCACTGCATGTCCATTCACCGGGGGCCTGCTGTCCCGCATCCGGGGACTCTGTCTTCTCACACTTCATCCTGGCAGCCTTTAAACATCCCTTAAAAATGATATACCTGCTGCTAAAACTGGCTTTCCTTAATAAGAGGCAACTAGTAAAAATAAATTTGCCATAATCGATAACCGATACTTGTTCTCTTTCAGACAAGTTAAAAGTTGGCTTTCCTGACCTTTCCAGCATTGAGATTTTAAAGACAGTTTTCATCCAGGACAAAATGAACATGTAGGATCAGGAAGAAACTTCCATTAGGAGTCATTGACTATTAAAATGCTTAAAGTTACAACTTTCTCCACCCCCCCCCCCAACATGTACGAAGGAAAAATGAGAACCCTTGAAAAATGGGGAAATAACTCCAGATTGTATAAATGTTGAGTAAATTTCACACAGGCAAAAAGTACTGAAGGGACTGTTCCAAGAGATGTAAAAATAAAAATCAATAATTAATGCTTTGCATTTAAGAGCCTGTAATTTTAAAGAACTTTTATATCCATTATTTCATTTATGCAATCTGAAATTATGGTTTTTATTGTGATGCCATTTTTTTGAGACCTGTCTCAATTTTTATCTTTAAACATGAAGGAATACCTAGAGCTCTGCTTGTTTCTTCCCTTTCAGGTCAGTAGGATCAGCTTAATCTTTGTCATTAAATAGGGGAGACGTTTCTAGTGAGCATCCCTGAGTGAAGAAGGGGTACACGTTCTTTTCGTTGTATTGAAAGAAAATTTCCGGGGGAATTTGAGATCCCATTCTATGTGCGGATAACATGATGGTAAATGGGATTCTCCGTTGGCTCCATAGCTCAAGGGTGAGGGCACTGGTCTTGGCAATAGGGTCCCCCATCCCAGGTCCAGCTGAGGCTGCAAGTGCAGATGCTGAATCTGGAGGTGGTGGGGGCCCGAGACTCTGCATTTCTAACTGGCTCCCAAGTGATGCTGATGCTGCAGGTGCTCACAGGGCACAGCGGTTGGTGGGACCAAGCCCACAGATAAGAACTGCAAAGGCGGTGGTGCAAACTGACCTGGGACCCCAGCCTCTCGCTACGTGGATGAAGGATGAAGTTAAGGAGACCAGGCTGTCATAACCCAGAGAGGAGCAAAAGTTGCCTAGAGTTGGGGTGGACTGCCTCCATCACCCCAGCCTCCCCACACCACTGCTGACCTCCAGGCTGGTGAAAGTGGCTTCAGGAGCCCACGCGGAGAACCAGCCACGTGACCGTGGAGTCTGGAGGACATGGTGGAACACGCCAGGGTCCCACACTGTGTTTCTCGGGCACTAGACACCTGCTTGGAGTCATTGCAAGGGGCTTATTTGAGAGCACCAAGGCCAGCATGCCTGTGGGAATCCCAGAGGCTCGGGGAGAATTACAAGTACTGTCCCAAGGAGAGGTCGGGCCACCTCTCAGGTGCGCAGTGCCAAGGACCCTGCTGATGTGCTCCCACGTAGCCAAGAGCCTCTGAACACCTGCAGCCCTGTCAGAGAAGCCCAATGCCAGACTACACAGGTACCAGTCAGACAGAAGAGCTACCCTGCCCCCTCCTCTTCCCTCTCTGTCGCCAGCCCTAGGGGTCTGCACACACCTGTGTAGACAGGGTGAAACCCATGCCCAGGCCCCACCCGCGGGGTCTGCGGCGGCCAAGAGGGATGGTTTAACTTGGAAGGTAATTCTGAATTTTGAGCATTTCTTGGACTGGACCTATAAAATTCTGATGGAGACAGTTTGAGGGACCAGCGTGTGGCAGGGCTTTTTCTCATCAGAAAACAAGGGGACCCCCTTGGATATTTTACGCAGCGGCTCCACGGACAGAGGCTTGAACAGAATAAAACTGATTTCTGCATCCCACGAGCTGTGCTTGTATTTAACGTTTCCGGAGATACCGGAAAGCTAAGCTCATTACAACAGGTTCCCCAAAAACTAGCCTTTATAGTGTCTCCTTCTTTTACCTTCCTTTAAATATCGTATTTATGATATATAATATAATCAAATCACTAAGCAAATTAAAAATTAATGTTATTAAGTGTATATATATATATATATTTTATGGGAGGCATAGTTACGATTTTTTTAAATGGTCCCATTTTCAATGGTCACTTGGGTTTTTATAGGGAAAAAGTTCTACACGGAATCTCTCCCAACGCTAAAATAGCTGTCTGCTATCAGAGATAATACTCCAACATTATTGTCACTTCATAAAGGAAAGGTAAGAGTCAAGGATTTTCCCAAGGCACATAAGGAGGATTACATAAAATCCCAGCGTCCCAGTGATGCTGACCGAATTGGCCTCTCTCTGGCTCCTAGCTGCACCTCGGTGCCACGTGGTGGTGGTGGTGGGCGGGGGTTCCCACTGAGGATTCAAAGGTACACCTTCCTGCCCTGTGCTTTCTGAACAGATCAGCAAGCGTGACTATTTGCGAGGTGGCGGCTGCGTAAATTCTAAGATACGAATATTCCCTCTTCCAAACTGTGAGTGAGGTGAAAATTTGATGTAAAATTTCAGGCGGAATGACTACCAGATACGGTGCGAGCAGAGCGAGCACATGCTGATTCAGAGTCAGGTAAGGAGCAAACGGAACTACGGGGCTGGCTCAGCTCCCAGACACGGTCCACACATCGTGTCCTTGTCCACTGGAGTGTAGGTCCCACTGACATTTCGACTCAGGGGTGCACTAAATGATTTCAGATTTCACAACTCAAAGAGGCTCGGAAAAGTGAGCGTGTAATTGTTACCTTTTTGGCAGGTGATAATTTTTCTCTGCTGCTGCAGGCACAAATCATTGAGCTGGTCAGTGTGCCAGTATTTTAGAAACACTTTTCGGACTCCCATCTAAAACACAAACAGCAGGGAGACACTAAACAGCATGAAGATGCCAAAAATGATGATGGGAAAACAGTCGGGCAAGAGATTTTTCCAGAAGAGGATTAGAAGAAACAAAGCTAACAAAATTAATTCCAGTACATTTTCCTTAATTTTTTTAAACACTATTCCATCTCCTCGCAATCCCAAAGGTTTTTCTTCTAACAAGTGTGTTTGCTGTGTGCACACATTGTCATTCATGTTTGCAGATGCCCACACACGAGAGTTGTAGCGTCTGCACTGCGCGGGGCCGAGGAGAAACACGGGCCTCGGCTCCACTGGAAGGTAAGACCCTCCCCATCGACCATCCCCATCGACGAGCACTCACACTGCAGAGCTGGACCCCTCTCCTCCCTCTGTGATTCTTTTCTTTCCTCAACTCAAAGCGGGGAGGTTGAGTCTATGAAAAGGAAAACAATAAAACAAAAAGACCAACAAACCCCATAAAGCTGACACACAAAATTGTTTCATTTCCATTATTTTTTTCCCACTACACTGCATGTTACTATAAATTGAATGTTTATACAACCACAATTATAGAGCTGCGGCCCAAAAGTAAAAAGTCTTAACAAAGTCATCTATGAGCAACAGTCGTCTAGATGATGGTGTAAACAGAAATACAATGAGCATTTCTCTGCAGCATTTTTAAAAAGCGTGTTACCAAAGCAGCTTCTACCAAAGCTACAGTGGTATGCGAGCTGGTGCAGACACACTGCTCCTGAGGAAGACAACTGCCAAAGGGAAGTCTTAAAGCCACAAACGATAAACCACATCCATGCATTTTTAAAGTAATTTTTCTTGTGTGTTGTGCGTATTTTCTAAGAATTCACAGAACTAGGGTAGGTGCGAGGAATGCCCTTCGCGATGTAAATTCTCGCAGGCTCTGAGAGGAAGCAAGCATAAAGAGTTGCAGGAGAGCCTGGTAAATACTAACATGAGGTGCTGGGGGAGCTCTGAGGTGATATTCTGCGAGATTAAGAAAAAATACTGCTCAGGCACACCTCGTGATAGGTTCATGATCGTATTCTTAGCATTTGAGACAAACGCCACCAGGATGACAAGACTAACACGTGTGCTCCCAAGCATGAGCTGGGGACATTAAAATGCTAGCACCCCTCTGCTTGGGCATACATCACAATGACACCCGAAGCTTGCCCGTATGCACACCCCATTAGGCAGTGGAAGGGTTTATAGGTCAGACTTGTCTCCGGAATGCTTGGCCAGAGGTGGTTTACGAAACTTTTCATATGGAAACTGAGTTTATTCCAAACATATGTTGTCACTCCCCATCCTTCCATCTAGCTGCCCCTTTCGCCGTGTGATCTGCTGTCTTAATGAAACACACGGTTGTGCAAGAGGCTGGGGCCTGAGTCTTGCATGATGGCGGTCAGGCTGGTGAGTAAGATCAACCGGGGAAGTTTTCAACGACTGTCCTGTCTCAGAAGCTCCTGCTTGACTGGATGCTGTTCTTCGTTTAGTTTTCTGGTAGTCTGCTGAAATTTGAGACAGTCACCTGGGTGGGGGGCTACAAAGAGTTGTTACTTTTTCCCATTGTATTGCCATTCTCTCTCCCTAGTTATTTTCCATAATTCATAGTCTTTTTTTCCCCCCCTTCCCAACTGCTGACTTATTTTGGCAGCCAACAGGAAGAACAGTTGGTACTGTCTGTGAGCGCTGTGGAACAAATCTGTGAGACGGGCCCTGGAAAGGAGGGAGCATGGCATCTTTCTGTTCATCACTGACTGTGGTATGCAACTCATTGTGGGAAACTGAATCCCAAAGGCAAAATGCATGCAAACCTCTGTCCCAAAATGCAAGTGTAGAATAGTGATAGCCAGCAATACGGCCCAATGGGTGGAGTCGGTGATGATCGCTAGGGGAACTCATCTACGGGGGGCGCTCGACATGGGGAAAAGACCTATGGAATGGAACTAAGACAACTGGATTCCAGTTCCACTCTCTTAATTAAATGGGGACCCTGGCTGGACAAGAAGGGAGTTGGACAGGATGAAAAAGATCTCCTAGAGTGACATTCCTAACAGCCATTCAAAACACTGAAGTAGGTTTATCTTGAGAATTGTGCTGGATGCCGAGGATATAAAGGAGGATACTGTCCTCAAAGAGAAGCTTCTGGGGAAGATCAGCAGTGAACAAAGATGACGGAGTTATAGTTATGTCTAAGGGACACCAAAAAGGAAGACGTGATCAAGTTGGGGTCAGGTAGGATTCACTGAGAAGCAAGTTACCTCAGCCATGTAGTCTTGAAGGATGGGCAGGAATTCTTCAGGGTGTCGAGGGATAGAGGGAGAAGATAGATGTGGGACAGAAAAAGTAGCCTGTGAACAGCAAGGGGCAGAAAACTATGTTGGGGCGCAGCTGCAGTGATGAGGGAAGAGGCCATACGTGTAACTGGCGGCCACATCGTGAAGAGTATTCCAGGAAAACCTGGACATTCTTCTATGAACAATGTGGATCCACTGGAAGATTTAAAGAGGATCCCAGCTAAATTTTATAAAAATGACTTCTGAAATTGTATTTGAAATTTATAAAGTTCCTTCTTAAAATCATCTGAAGAATGGGTTGTTGGGCTTGGCTCTCGGAGGTACTTGGTGAAGTGGGACAATATAAGGTCATCAACAATTTGGATTTGGAAGATCTTACCACTGTTGCTTGTGTGTTGACCAACTTCTTATTTATCCTTCATGAATGAAATCAAGCCCCACTTCCATCGTTAGATTTTTGAGATCCATTTATCCACTTCTAGTAGGCCTTTGATGACTTTCACTTGTGTTCCCAGAACACCCTATGAATGATTCCTTATTTCTGTTATTATATTGCATTGCATATTTGCCATTATGCACATACATTTACATCTCCTGAAGAATATGAAGATATATTCTTGAACTTCACAAGTGGTAGGGATGTGGGGAGGGTGGATTCAGATTAGAAACAGAACATAAGGAATTGTGAAGTCCTGGTATAAGAAGATGAGTCATCGCAATGGATGATAATGTCTTCAAGGATGAAAATAAGTTATGATGGTCAATGAAAACACAAGCCAGACCCTAAGTCATTCAGCAAACTGGAGATAAGTTATGGCAGCCAGTAGGTGATAGAACAAATGATGGGGGCGATAAAAGAAAAGTGGGGTGAAAATGGTCTACACATGGTACAGACATAAGACAGAAGGCTGGGGAGCAATGAGTCAGCTAGCCCTGCTCCCCCACTGAGACAAAGGAAGTGAGAAAAAATGAAACCTCCTAAGAGAGTATTTTCAGGAACGTCCAGTTTTCGGTTCACATATGGAGGCTAACTTAGAAGGGGCGTAAATATGGACACAGTAGGTTCTTCTCACAATGTATTAGAGATTTCACAGGACCCAAAGGTGGGTCGTTAAGGAGTGGTCTGAGCGCTTCACACAGCAGATGTGCATGTCTTGCAGGCAGGATAAAAGGAGTCCTTCCTGAGATCCATGGATTGTGACAATGGCAAGGAAGGAGCTGGGTGGGAACATGAGGCACAGGGCGTGTGAGGGGAAGGTGCGCTGCTAGACAGGTAGACGCTCCTCTGGGAGCCAGAGGGATAGACCAGCTCCCAAAGCTCCTGTTGAGGCTCTGCTATAGTTATGCCCATGGAAATTCTCCAGCGGTAAAACCAAAGGCTTTGTAAATGAGGGAGGCTTCTGGGCTTTCGATTCAGTGGGGGGAGGAGGGGACAGAAGCCTGAATCTACATGACAAGTGTCCCACTAAGGGACAGCTAAAGACTTTGTGGGCATGGCTGGGTATTGTGTTGCCATCACATTCAGATGGATTAAATAATTCTTCATTCAGCTACCTGGGTACACCTTACACTTATCCAATGGGCGACTCATTCATTCATTCATTCATTCACTCTTTATATATACATATATTTTACCGTGTAATTTATCTGTGGATTGGCAGTATTTGGAGATACTCGTCGGAAATGTTAACACTTGTTTGACTTTGCTGGTCTTTTAGAGACGTCATGTTTATAGTAAATGCTTCTTCTTTCCTTAAAGAATGAGATGTGTCATTTAGTAGTATTTTGGATTTCTTTGTCAGAAACTATTTTGAATAACACATTGTAGTCTTAAGTCCTCTGCTATCATTCAGGCTAAGGATTACTGGGACATAAATCTAGGAATCTTTTTTAACCAGGAAAACCCAGACAAGATAACAAGGATTCTATATGTTTATTGTCTATTAATGTCATTGACCAGGAGAAAATTGTTGGCCATTTTAATTTTTTCTATGGAATGAATTCACGTCAAGTGAGTGCCTTAGTGTGCTATACCAAATCCATTAAATTAGGATTCATTTGAATGCAACCAAATTTCCAATCACCTACATTTTTTATTTTGGTTGCATTCTCTTATCAAACAATGTTTCTCACAACCAGAGAGAAGGAGAGGTTAAAACATTCTCCTACTGAGCCCTCTCCCTGTGCACTCTCTAGATGCAGAGTGTTCTGATCTGAGATTAAAATGTTAATGTCATTCTGACTCCTGTAAAAGTAAACCATCTGTGAATTATAGTCATCGCTATTTTTATTAGAAAACCATTAGGTTTTTTTTTCTTTTTTGAAGTGACAGATTTTAAAAGATTAAACAAAATTGTCATTGATGACTTCGAAAGCTTCAATTCCTGCTACAGTTCTTGGGGATTTTTTAGAGGTGGGGGCTGGGGGAGCAGAGACAGCTGCTGGATGGCACGTCAATGGCTCGTAGGTAGCCTGGAGGCTTCACTAGCCAGAGATCAAAGGGACCTGTGAAGATGCTCTTCTCCCTTTTTCCTTTTCCTCCTCATCATCACTGAAGGCTGCCTCCAATCACAGAGGTGCAGACAAAGAGGAGGGCGGGGGCAAGCTTGCTGGCAGAGGTGGCCCTCCTGTGGAAGGGTAGAGGGACAGACACTCCCGGTTTCCATGGCAACCCGGGGATTCCCGCAGGAGGAGCCTATTACTGGTCTCGCCCTTTTAGGAATGTCCCCCATTCACTGACTGGGAGACCATGGGCAAAACTATCTTCAGAGTGATCTTTCTAAACATCGAGCTCATGTGACTTTCCTGCCTAACATGATTTAATAGCAGGTCATGATTTTCAGGATAATGTTCAAACTCTTGAAATGTTTATTAGACTTTTTATAGTATGGCTTTATTCAATGCATTCAGATGTATCTATTCTTAAACTATATCATATTGCTTGCTATTCCAAAATGGGAGCTTGCTTTTCTTCTCTGGCTCAACATATACTATATACCTTGCTCTAAATCATCTACTGGATAAACTCCTTTAAAACACAGATGGCTTGGTGAACTCTGAGTCTAGTGTGTACCTCAAAATAATGAATTCATTTTAATAGCATACCCACGTCACTAATGCACCTCGTATATACCCCTATAATACCACTGAGTTCCTGTTTTTTGTCATTATTTGTATACCCGTCTGAATATTCAACTTGACTATGAGATACATGTGGGCTAGGATGATGTTGGACAAATATAAAGATCTTAAGTTACATCTATTAAGGTGGAGGAGATAAAAGTAAATGGAACACTAAAATGAAGAAAGCAGAACTTCAAGAGTGATTTTACTGGACACGAGCTATAACATGAACTCAGATATTAAAGAACAGTTCACTTTAAATACATTTAAAAAACTAAATCTTTTCAAACTATTTGAACTCATTCATTTTGTAAAATGCAGCTAAT